GGAAGCGGCTTAACCTCTCCCTCTGCTTGATTTTCTCATTTCTTGAATAGTGGTTAACAACAGAACCCACCTTGGAGGATTATTGTGAAGAAGGTGGATGTATAAGTAAATGTAATAGCGTAAGCACTAAGAGGTTTGCATAGAGAGCTCAAAGGCGAAGCACTTAGCTCAATTTAAGGGTTCACAGGGAGACTTCCATATGATAAAAGCTAAGCAGATGTGTAAAAGCAGGTGAAAAGAAACTGGATGAACATTTGAAGAAGAAACAGAAGGAGGGATGTTCCCAAAGGAAGGAGGTATGATACAGGACTCAGGTAACCAGCATCAGTGAGCATCATTTTAGACTTAGTGATGAGAATGTCCATAGATCAGACTGAAACGTACCTGAGACAAGGTCATGGAGGGCTCTCTGTTTCCCTTCTGGCTATTTTGCTGCTCCAAAACCCCTCTGTATAGAAATTCCAAAGCTGCAGTTAGGAGGCTGCTGAAGTGATAAATTCTAACTATGGCATTGGTATGATGTGCAGCATGGGAGAGAGAGATGTTAAACATTGCTCTTAGAGTGTTGATAGGAGTGAACAATTATGGAGAGTTTACCACTTGGGATTTACTCTGCTGGGCATTGAACATACAAAAGAGAATGAAATATAGTCCCAGCCTTTAAAGAGTATATCAACTATTTCATTTAGACATTTACTTCTCATTTCTCTAATATCACAAAAGAGTTAAATAACTCAGAGAAATCAATATATATTTTGTTTGTATACTAGAGAAAATTAGTTATGGTAGGAGTCAAATTTCCAGATTGCCATTTATAATATCTAGACATAAATTCTGAGCTCAGGTCAACATCTAGAGTAAATATCAAGATACTGATAGTTTAAATCAAGGATGGTCAAGGGTATAGACATGGGAGTATCAAGAGTGCAGGAGAAATCAGAATCCTACAGGATATGTTCATGTCCAGAGTGAGCAAATAAAAAGAACTTTCTCCTCCCACCAAAGAGGAGAGGCAAAAAAAAAAAAAAAAAAAGGAAAGTGGACAAGAACCTTGAAGGTGAGAGAGTTTAGAGGAGGAAGATTTAGGAAGGAAGGAGTACGTTCCACCACTGGAAAATGTTAGTTAAGATAAAGTTTAAAGGAGTTCATTGGATTCAGTCACAAGGGAGTGGTTGATGATTTTTGTAAGAGAGATCAGAGTACCAGGAGGGGAAGTGGTGAAGGAAAGTGGGCACATGGGCACATGGGCACAGCCCCTGCTTTAAGGAACTTGTCTGTGAAGAAATGAAGATGGAAGGTGATGCAGAGTCTGGTAAGAACTGCGGTGTTTCTCTTTTCTCTTTAATCTAGTAGAGTGTGGAATGTTGTTAGAATGAACCAAAGTGAGAGAGGTTGAAATAAAGGTAATTAGAGATCATGTAAAGATGGCAAGGAAATCCACAGCAAAAGGGATTCTTTAGGAGGTGAGGCACCTTCATTCTGATGTGGGTGGGGAAAGGAAGCAAGGATAGTATTCCTGCAGGTAAGTGGCTAATCCGCAGCTTAGAAGGTTTACCTTGGATATCTATTACTTCTGTGAAATACAGAGTGGGTTATCTGCAAAGAGTGAGAGTGGGACGAATAAGAGAGTTTACATGTCTTGTGAATGTTTGAAAAATATGCCAAGAAAAAAATGACAAATTAACGAGCACCCAGAGAGAACTTCCTGGGCCACAGTAAGGTCTGAGAAAGTCCAGCTGAGGTAAGAAAACCAAGAATTGTGGAGACAACAATTCGTATGGTCATGGGAGTGTGGGGGATAATATTTGATAGCCTAGATGTAAAGTTAATATAATGCTGGGGTTCGATAGGTGAATCCTGCAGAATGCCAAAGGAGCAGGAAGTTGACAGCTGAGCTAGAGCATTACTGGAAACCTGTGCCATGCTGTCTGGGTAGAGAAAGAAGCAAAGATCAGGCCTTTCCCCCTTTTTTTACAGGGACACCGTGACGGAGCCAAGGGCCTGGAACGTCAATTAGATGAGGGCAGGGAAACATGGGTCTTGAAAATGGATCCTGTTCTGTGCGGCACCTTGAGGTAGACATTGTTCTAGGTGCTGATGAGATCCAGGAAGCAGCCTGGAGAATGGTGATAAAAGCCAAGAGGGCGTTGCTCTGTCTCAACGGCCTTTTCTCCTCTTTTTTGCTAGAACCTACGCAATGCCTGGAACAAAATAAATTTCAATATATATTTATAAAAATAGAGTAAAAATGCTTTCCTTTTTGCCTCCTAGTGTATGACTTCAATTTTCCTCTTCCCTTATATTTCCTCCTACTTATATAAAAGTATAAGTATATACTTATGTAAAGTATAAGTATAAATGTATGTACTGATACACTTTTTAAAAAAATCAGTACCAGGGATCAAACTCATGACCGCATACTTCCAAGGTAGGCCCCTATGCACTGAGCTAAATCCCCAGCACCTTGATATACATTTTTTCTCTTGATATACTTATACTTATTCCTCTTTTATACTGATGCTCTAAAAGAAACATACTGTCAGCTAATAGATTGCATAATAGGGAGTTCTGGTCTGATCTGAATGGCAGAGGTTAAGAAGTCTTCCTCAGGAAATGACATTTAAAGTGAAACTGAAGACTGTAGAAATTTTCTTTTTTTGGTTTGCTTTTGTTTTTGTTTTTAGTGCCAGAGATTGAACCCATGGTCTTGTGAGTCCTAAGCATGTACTGTGTGACTGAACTACATTTCAACCCCTCTGAGTATCTTGAAGTGAGAAAAAAACTGAAATACTGCAGCAGGCTAGTTACGAGGGAAGAAGATGGATGGGACTGAAGGTTAGGACTGTGTTAGAGAAGGTCTCAGGAATGATAAATCATGACGTGCTTGTGACCCAGAAGACTTGAAATAGGAAAAAGGGGTTTACAGTTACTAGCTTGTATGTGTTCACAGGAATTCTACTGTTTTTACAGGGGTTGAGTCTGCACAGTGAATCATACACCGCTTATGTTTGCTTAAAACATTTCCTCTAGCACCCTTCTACATCCTTTCTGCAAAGCCTTATTCCTTTGGAGTAAACAAAGTAAATTTCAAAAACCACTATTAAAGTGGACTTTATTACTGAGTGAGGAAGTTTTCAGTTTCCTTCTTTCCTGCCATTCTGATTTTTTCCATTAGCTTCATGATTGATGTCTTAGTTTATGCAAGCTGCTTTAAATATTAGGTTAGGTTGGTTAATTTATGAATAATAGAAACTTATGTCTCACAGTTTTAGGGACTGTATAAGTCCCTAAAGATCAAGGTGATAACAGAGTTGGTAGCTGCTGGAAGCTCACTCTCTGTTTTATAGATGTCGTATCTTGCTGGAAGGGGTAGAAAAGGGGAGAAGTCTCTCTGCAGCCTTTTTATAAAGGCACTAATCCCATTCATGAAGCTTCGTGCACGGGACCTCATCACCTCTTGAAAGCCTATCTCTTAATAACGTCACTTTGTGGTTTAGATTTCGACATACACAGTTTTTGGGGCTGGGGGGTACATGATTCAGATCATAGCAGCTGGGTTAATTAGGTGTTTGAATAGGTAACAGGTAAGCTTTAATTAATGGAATTCAAGGAATGCAAAGAACAGAGCAGGGCACCGTTGGTGGATGATGAGAATGGGAGACTCAGATAAGTTACCGTTAACTTGTTGCTCAATTTTGTCTAATATAATCTTATGTGAAACTTCAGATTTTTCCAGGATAGGTAATTAGTTGCCTACTTCAACATCAATCTTAGAGGAACTGTTCTGAAATGGTGTGTGTGTGTGTGTGTGTGTGTGCATGTATGTATTACGTATGTGTGTGAATGGCTAAGTATGTGTGTACATCTGCATTTTGGGGCAGGAAGCTTCTGTGAAAACTGACACTAGAGGCTCAGACCACTGGTGTAAGTGTTCACAAGGGTAACAATGGGGCATGACAGAAGCCAGAGTGTAGAAAACTTGTAGGGATTGGCTGACAGTGGCTGCTTCTCTTGGGGATGGAGCGAGTCTAAAGGAAGGCTCTATCCTGAAGAGTAGCTTAGTGGCATAATATGCAGCCCGAGTAATGAACTGCAGTAGCTTGGGGCTCAACGCTCTCCACATTAGTGTTGTCTCTCCCCATTGCTCAGTGTCACTCATTAGATGTGGACAGACATTGGGATCTGGCCTTGATCTTGTCCCATTGCAAATGCCTGGAGAGAATAGCTGATCCAATAAAAAAAAAATTATGCGCTTAGAGGTCAAAGTAACGAGAGGTCTCAGAATCACAACTACTTCCAAAGAAAACAACAACCTGGATTATAGATGTCACCATTAGTTTAGATCAGGTGGTTGACAGATATAACTAATACAAAATAAGTATGAAAAATGATTAATGTTTATTGAATAGTATTGTTTTACTGGCTAAAAGGTTTATTTTGAAGGGGTAGCATATAAAAATAATATGGTATTTATTTAGAATTAGAAAAGTAAACTTTGGGAAATAAAAACTCAGAAACAGACCTATATATATATATGGGACTTTAATATATGATAGAAGTGGCATGGCAGATCAATGCTGAAAAGAAGGACTTTTCAATAAATAGACTTGTAAAAACTGCCTATATATATGGGAAAAAATGAAATTGACCCCACTTCATTCTATATGTAAAAAGGAACTCCAGATAAATTAAATCTGGTAGGAAATGGTTAATACATGACAGGAATTTAACAGACGAGAAAACTCATTTGACTAATAAAATATGATGAGAAAGTCAGTGTCATTATTAACCAAGGAAAGAAAACTAAAATCATATCATTGTATACTCATTTAATTGGCAAAAATTAAGAAATACGACAATATCAAATATTGGAGAGAATGTGAATTAGAACCTTATAAAATGCTTTTGAAAGTATAAATGGATAGAACCACTTTGGAAAGTTTGTCATTATGTAATGTTGACATTCTTGTATCTTATAACTGGGGAAATTCTACTTATAGGTATAAACCCAAGAAAACCCGTGTAATAAGAAACATGAACAAGAACGGTCCTAGCAGAATTGTTAGTAAAGGTAAGTATATGATTCCTTTTTATAAGAGTTAAAGACAAATGAAATTAAGTAATATAATTTTTAGGAATAACAAATATGCAGTAAAGCTATAATTTCAAAATCAATAATAAATGTGAGAATAAAGGAAGAGAAGATAGAAAATAGATTAAGGACAGCTCATAGGTTGTGAACAAATGTTTACCAATGTTTTAATTCTTATCCTGGGCAATTTTTTCATACATATTTAATGATAAGCAAATACATAAATAAGTACATGAGTATGTATAAGTAAAAGAGGCCATGCTTGTACCTATGGATGAGAATGTGTCACAAGTAAGACCCAGTTCTATGCATTTGAACAGAAAAACATCAACTCTCTTTATCACGTTTATATTTCCTATTATATTATCATTAGTTCACACAATAATTCTGTTCTTGCTTACTACTATAATCCCCCTTTTACAGATGACTAATAGCTCAGGAAGTTTGTATGACTTGTTCAAGTAGAATGCAGAGTTTGAGGTCTCATCTGCCAACTATAGGGCCTTCCCTTTAACATCAACCTTAGCTCGCAGTCATTAAGACCATTTTATGGGGCTGGGGATTTAGCTCAGCGGCATAAGCGCCTGCCTTGCAAGCAGGCAGTCGTGAGTTCGATCGCCGGTACCGATAAAAACGAAAAAGACAAAAAAAAAAAAAAAGACCATTTTACTCACTAAAATATCTGCCCACAGCAGTTGTTCTGTGAGGATAACAATCTCTAGATACCAAATTTGCCTAACATTGAAATATTTTTGCCTTACAAAGTATGCTGTAGCAAGGTGAGAAATTTGCCTGTGTGTCATAAGGGAGAAGCTGTGTTAAAATGAAATCATCTATTATATCACTGAGTAACAAGAACTTGAATGTAGGAGAGCTCAAATAAGAAATGTCCTACGCTGCTGGATGAGGTGATTCATTCCCTGAGTCTGCACAGTGTTCCTCTTTCATGTGCCCACACAACAACGTAGAGATATAGAATGTTCCCAGTGTTTTTAGAAGTTGTGAATTCGTTAGACACCTATTTATTCTGCTTTGTGACCTTCCCAAGGACCCTTGATTCTAGTTTATTCTTTCTTAAAGAGAAGCTCATGCCCCCTCTGCTGGTCAGCCTCAGTTTGTTATAAATGTCTTTCTAAACAGGCATTCATCATCCATCCCTGTGAGGAATAATAATTTTATGCGTATTTCTAGTGCCCTGAGGGGTTTTTTTTTAGAAGACAGTTGGCAGTAGGAAAGAATGTATTTTTTTTTAAGAAGACAAAATGTCACCAGGAACCTGGTTTGTGGGCAGATGCTACCTAAGAGAATTTGTACTAAAATTTGGGGGGAGTAATATTGGAGGTGTGGAGACCAGCTTTAGAAGCAACTTCTGCAGCCCTTGCTTTATAGCAAGAAAAAAAAATCTGTTCATTTTCTTCAGCTCATCGCCCAATTGAATGTATTAGATACTCTCACAGTCTTATTGGATGTGTATCTTTTTTTTCTCTCCTGAAGGTTGTGTTCTATTTTCCTTCCTGTGTTTATATGTCAAATCTGCTCATAAGAGTAAAATAAGGACCTCTCAGGACAGAAATTATATTTAAGTTTCTGTTTGGTTCAGCCCCCAACTCTCAATGCATACTACATGGTGAATAATAGTTTTGCTACTTAGCCACCTCTCTGAAATTGCCATGTGAAAACAGAAACTATCCCCAGCCAGTGACCTAAGAAAATCCAAATCAAAAAGGTGAAAGAAAACTCTGACCAGTGCACCAGAAGACTAGATACAGCAATTGTTACTATTGTGCCCATAATCACAATTTGACTGTAAGTGCTTCAGGATATGTTGATTCCAAAATGTTGAAATTATGCTGACACTCCTCAAACTTTTCAATGAAATTGAAAGGGAAGCAATCCTTCCTAAGTCATTACTGGAAGCAAATATTACTCTAGTACCAAAACCTGAGAAAGACCCAACTGAAAAACAGAAATACAGGCCAATCTGTCTAATGAACACAGATGCAAAAATCCTCAATAAAATATTAGCAAATAGGATGCAGCAAATCATCAAGAAGATTATACACCATGACCAAATGGGATTCATCCCAGGCATGCAGGGATGGTTCAACATATGTAAATCAATAAACATAATCCACCATATCAATAAAACCAAAAGTAAGAATCACATAATCATTTCTATAGATGCAGAAAAAGCTTTTGATAAGGTCCAACATTCATTTATGATAAGAACCTTACAGAAAATTGGAATAGATGGTCTTTACCTCAATATAATAAAGGCTATCTATGACAAACTAACAGCCAGTATCATACTAAATGGCCAAAAACTGAAGGCCTTTACCTTAAAATCAGGCACAAGGCAAGGATGTCCCTTATCACCGTTCCTATTTAATATAGTACTGGAAATACTAGCCAGAGCAATTAGACAAGAGAGAGAAATAAAAGGGGTAAAGATAGGAAAAGAAGAAGTTAAGTCATCATATGTGGATGACATGATACTCTATATAGAAGACCCCCAAAACTCCATCGAAAGACTCCTAGATGTAATAAATAAATTTAGCAATATAGGTGGATACAAAATCAGTACTCAAAAATCAATAGCATTTTTATACACTAACAACAAAATCACAGAGAGAGAAGAGAAGCCACACCCTTCACACTAGCAACCAGAAAAATGAAATATTTAGGAATTATTCTCACGAAAGAAGTAGAAGATCTATATAGGGAAAACTATAATACACTGAAAAAAGAAATTTGAAGAGGATCTCAGAAAATGGAAAGACATCCCTTGTTCATGGATAGGAAGCATAAAAATTGTGAACATGGCCATTCTCCCAAAACTATTATACAAATTCAATGCAATCCCAATAAAAATACCATCATATACCTCATAGATCTCAAGAAATCACTCCTAAAATTATCTGGAGCCAGAAGAGACCTAGAAGAGCAAAGACAATTCTAAGCAGCAAAGGCAAGGTAGGAGGCATCACAATCCCTGACTTGAAGTTATACTACAAAGCAACAGTAGTAAAATCAACATGGTACTGGAATCAAAACAGAGCTGAAGATCAATGGAGTAGATTAGAAGATACAATCACAACTACAAACACACTTAACCACCTTATCTTTGATAAAGGGGCCAAACATGTTCACTGGAAGAATGACAGTCTCTTTAATAAATGATGTTGGAAAAACTGGCTCTCCATATGCCAAAAACTAAAACTAGACCCATGCCTATCACCATGTACTAAGTTAAAATCTAAATGGATCAAAGATCTGAATATTAAAACAGAAACACTAAATCTGTTGGAAGAAAATTGGGTAAAAAACTTGAAGACATAGGGATAGGTAGCGAATTCATGAACAGGAATCAAACCACACGGGAAATACTTCCCAGAATCAACAACTGGGATCACATCTTAGTAAAAAGTTTCTGCACGTCAAAAGAAATCTGTAGCATAGTGAAAAGAAAACCTACAAACTGGGAAACAGTCTTAGTGAACTGTCCCTCAGACAAAGGACTTCTGTTTAAAACATATAAGGATGAACACAACTGTTTTCAGTCTCACTGTTTGAATGTTCACTTTGTATGCTTTGATCCTGTGACCTGAATCACCATTTTTAAGATGATAGTGTGTAATCTATTAACTGGTGATATCTTACTGGTTTTTTTGTAGTTCTGTATTACTTGTACCCTTACACTGTTTTGTTTTGTTCTGTTCTGTTTTTTTCTTTTTCCTTTTAAATAAAATAAAAAATAAAAATAAAAAAATAAAACATATAAAGAATTAAAAAAACTCAGACCCCCAAAATTCAAAGATCCAATCCAAAAATGGACATCTGTGATGAATACACAATTCTCAGATGAAGAAATACAAATGGAAATAAATACAAGAAAAAATGTTCATCATCATTAGTCACTAGAGAAATGCAAATTAAAACCACACTGAGATTCCATCTCACTCCTGAAAGAATGGCCAGGATCAAGAAAACTACCAACAACAAATGCTGGAGGGACTGTGGGGAAAAAGGAACTCTCCTCCACTGTTGGTGGGAGTGTAGACTGGTGCAACCATTGTGGAGGTCAGTCTGGAGATTTCTCAAAAAGCTGGGATTGGAAGTCCCATTTGTTCCAGCTATTCCACTTCTAGGCATAGTCCCAGAAGAACTGAAAGCATCATACCACAGTGATATATGCGCACCCATGTTTATAGCAGCACAATTTGTAATAGCCAGATCTTCAAAACAATCTCAGTGTCCATCAACTGAGGAATGGATAAAAAAGATGTGTATTTTTACACAACGGAGTACTACTCAGCTATAAAGAATGATCACACTGAGATATTTATAAATAAATGGATGCAGCTTGAGACTATACTCATAAGCAAAATAAATCAAATTCACATGTATAAATAGCAAAGAGTTTCCCTAGTGTAAGAAATGGTAATAATACATAAAAGTATGTGGTAATCATGATTCCCTATTATATTTCTTTGAAGCTTTATAATGTTTTCATTCATTAATTATAATGGTTTTATTCTGGGTTGTTTGATTTTGTTGTCTGTGATGGTATGAACAGCTATTTTGAAGAAAACAAGACATTAAAATAGCTAATGATGATTTAATATCATCTTGTTTTGAAGTCCCACCAAGCTTTTGTTCTTCTGTCTCCATCAGTTTTATGTTGTAGCTTATTGGATTTTATTATATGTGATAGTATAAACAAAATTTTTATAGACAAGGAGATAATATAGAAACCATTGTTCTCTGTTAGTTGGTTCTGAATACCCTGTAATACTTTGATTCTCTTGAATGGTTTTACACTGTCTTGTTATGCTTGATACTATAGTGTATGAAGGTATACTCAAATATTTGAAGGAAAGCGACACTACGGTAGCTACTGTTATGTTGGATTGTTTTGTGGTGAAACACTATGTTGCTTAAATTGGTCTGTTCTGACCTGTGTTGTTTTGTCCTCTTTT